GGTGGATGATGTTGTAGATGCTCTTGCCCACCAGGTCGTCCTGCGAGTAGTTGAGGAACTGTCGAATGTTCTCCGACACAAACTCCACCTTGCCTTCCGAGCTCACCATGAAGAGGAATCCGTCCAGCGCCTGCGAATCCAAAAAAAAATCAAAATTATTTACAGTATATGTATATACAAATTGTAACTAAAAAAAATAATTGGAGTTCGAAAGGTTTCGGGTTAGGAAACAACATTTTTGTTTGTTTGGGGGAAACGAAAGAAGAATTACAGGAAATTGTACTTGGTGACATTCTAGGCCTTCAATTGCTTCTTAAATGAGTTGAGAGGATGCTGAAATTGGAGGCAAGGGTTCATTTTCCAAATTGATCTTTAAACTCCCTTCAAAACACATCAGGTTACATTTTTTACTGCTGTTCCCTTTCCCCTGTCAATAAAATAACAGCAACTTTTTTATTGTTTTTTTAGGTGCGGTTTCTCAATTTTTTATACAGTGTCTGTTCGCAATTCGACCCTAGTCCAGAAACGGATTAGGGTCGAATTGCGAGGTACAGTAGCCCTTGTGCGAGAAAATCGGTCGGGATTCAAGACAACTGACCAGGAGCGACATCTAGCACTAACTCCTTCATCTTTATGGACATACTGCGGTTTCCTAATTCTATGCAGCGTCTGTTCGCAATTCGATCCTAGTCCAGCAACGGATTAGGGTCGAATTGCGAGGTACAGTAGCACTTGTGCAAGAAAATCGGCTGGGATTCAAGACAATTGACCACGAGCGACATCTAGCACTAACTCTTCATCTTCCTGGAAATGCTGCGGTTTCTTCATGTTATACAGTTCCTGTTCGCACTTCGACCCTAGTCCAGCAATGGATTAGTGTCAAATTGCAAGGTACCACTTGTGCAAGAAAATCGGCAGGGATTCAAGACAATTGACCACGAGCGACATCTAGCACTAACTCTTCATCTTCATGGACACTGACACACACACACACACACACACACAAACAGAGAGAAAAGAAAAGGAAAAACCTCAAGCAATAGAGGTCCCAGGACTTCGTTGGCCAAGATGGTGGGCTTGGTGGACGACACGTCGCTTTGCTGGACGGCGTCCGGCGCCACGGCCGCCGCGGCACGGGCCTTGTCCTCCTGCTGGATCCTATGAATCTGGTTCACGGTTTCTTGCAGGATGGCGCACTTGTCTGGCTTCACGGACCTGGCCGACGACGCGTTCATGTCTTCCAGCGACGCCTGGATCAGCTCGGCCAGCTCTTCGTAGTACGAGTTCTCCTGTTCCCGGCGCCTCTTTTCGTTCAGACACTTGTTCCTATTTTTTTCCGTATTATACACGGAAAAAAAAGAAAGAAAGGAGAGAGAGAGAGAGAGCGAGCGAAAAATTAGTCATGGCAAAATAAATTTTTTTTTCATTCATTCGTCGCGAGACACACGAAGAAAAAATAAAGGGAGAACGGATTGGCATTAACTCAACAAGGACATGGGGAATTATGGGAACTTCTTTTTCACTTATTTTTTAAATCCAACAGTTCTAAGGTTGACATTTTTTTTGCTTTTCATCTTCGCAGGGTCAAGAGCCTGTTCATCATGACCATTTCTTCGTCGTTTTCTAAGAAGAACATTTCTAGTCATGAAATACATAGCAGTGAAATCTCGCTCCTCTTTTCGTTCAGACGCTTGTTTCTAATTTTTTTTCCCATTTTTTCGTACATAGAAAAAAA